GAGAGAGAGAGAGAGAGAGAGAGAGAGAGAGAGAGAGAGAGAGACTCGTGAACAAACTCTACACGGAGAGAATATTGTAGTAAAAATTACAAAACAACTTTAGTATTTCGGGAATAGACTGACACTATGATGAAAATTATAATAAAGTACAATAAAAGTGACCATAATAATCACAATAAAAGTGAACATAATAAACATTACTATAAATGTAGTGAAAATTATTATGTTTATAGTCATTTTCACTATGTTTTATTACAATGTTCGTAATGGCGTCAGTCTATTTCCCGGACTACTAAAATTGTATTGTAATATTTACTACAATATTTTCTTCATGTAGCACCGAATTGCTATTCTTACGACCGAGAGGTAGCCAAAGAGAACGCGTCCGCCATAACAGAATCGCAATGGACAAACGCGAAACCGACAGACGATTTCAAACGCGTAGTCGAAAATAAGCGATCACTCCACATCCGCCGATAATACCTCGTCAAATTAGTCAGGAAGATGCCAACGATATGGTTGTATGAAACAACAAGAAAACAGTTGCTGTCGTTCAGTCATCGGTTATTCGAGCGCCTATAAGCGCCACGTGTTCAGTCGTACAAAAAAGTTCGGCAAAAGTCTCGATTACTTGAATCGTACATTACAACGTAATGTAACTAATTTCGAACTATTTTGCGTATACAATTTTCAGGAAACGAAGCACAAATTTTTTCCAGTTTTTACTTTTACTATAGTCTTTCTTTCTCACAAGGCGCACGAATATCTGGGAGCGACTGGAACAAGCAAAATAGAAAAGAGAGAAGGAGAGAGAGAGAGAGAGAGAGAGAGAGAGAGAGAGAGAGAGAGAGAGAGAGTGACGATTGTGTTCCAAGAGGCTATAGCCAGTGTATGTACGTTAGCGTCCAGCGGTCTCGCGTCGGGTCGCAGCAGAATCGCGCGAATCGATGAAATCGAAAGTCTTTACCGTGATTGTACTTATACGATCGTGGATAAGTTTTAGTCCGTGTAAGTGAAGTGTAATTTGTAAGTAGAACGAGCCGAGCCGCCGACGCCGACGCCGGCGGCACAAGAAGGGACGAAGTGTTAGGGGCGCGAGACGGAAACCCTCTTGTTCGTGTGCGTAGAATTTTTATGCCCGTTAAAGGCCCGACACATGTAATCCATCCATAAGTAGCTGAATGGTCGACGTGGCTTCTCATGGGCTAGATATTGAGAGATATCCTTCTTTTACTATCGTCTTCTTTTGGTAGAAGACATTGATAGACCGTCATTAGATTACGTATGTAAATTGTATTCTGTCAACACACTGCCCGTTTCTTATCGTTATTTTATCGTTATCAGGGAACGCCGCACAAGGACTAATCGACGAAACAACAGACATTCCACGAACAGATAACGACGACGACGACACGAGGACCAAACGCGAAGAAGAAAGATAAGATATGTAGGCTTGAGTTTCTCGCGAACGCGTACCGGGCGAGTGCAATATTAGAAATTATTACCCCAACGTCGGGGCGAAGATTAATCGCGGTCTTAAATGAAGATTCATCGCGACGATCTCTCTCCCGCGACTGACATCGAGCGCCAGGGAGTCACCGCGCCAACTTTGTATCTGCTACGATACGCAGTCGCTAATTACGAAAGTTTAAATACGTGGAGAGAAAGTATGAGTGAGAAAGAAAGAAAGAGGGAGAGGGAGAGAAAGAAAGAGAGTTTGGGATGTCGCCGCTCCAGGAAAGGGTCTCCTGATATCTAGTCTCGAGTCTCCAGCACCCGAAGAAGAAGAATCAATGTTTTCCATTCGTAGAGCTAGTCAATTACATCTCAGTGTACAAAAAAAAGAAGAAAAGAAATCTTAAGCTAAATGTTTCGTAATGACCCTGTCCTCGATTTGACGCATTTACCCTCGTGTAGACTAGTTATTCTATTAATCTTTCATGGGAGATATTTTGTTTCGGCCGCAGAGTCAGCGAGTTGCCCGCGTTAATGTGTACTTTAAAGAGGGAAATACCCTTCGAGAGTAAAAAACAAGTCTTCTCGTGAATTTTTATTTAACGGTAAGAGACTTTTGTAGTTTTATATATACAATATTATAACTCTAAATTGTTTATAGTATTTTTCTATGTAAAAATATTAATAAACATAGATATGGAGCATTTCCAGAAAAAGGTACAAACATACATGTTACGTTGGTATGTATGATTTTGCAGAAACCAGTAAACCGAAATAGAAAAACGAAATAGATTATTAATCTACAAATGTGTTATCGTTGGTTTTATCGTTGAAAATAAATATGTTATCATTGGTTTTATCGTTGGAAATAGAATAATAAAAATCTTTAATATTTATCAATATTTTACGTGAAAAAATTACTAATAAACAGTTTAGACTTATAATATTATATAAAACTATAAATGTTTCTTACAGTTTTTGTAAAAAAAACTCATAAAAAGACCTGTTTTTTACTCTCGAATGGCATTTCCCCCTTTGAGGGGAAAAAATTCGCAAGTTCATTCTGTCGCCGACACACACACACATTCGTTTCGACTCGCCTGGCCGGGGTCGGACGCGAAAATAAACAACGCCGCAGTGTCAGAGCTGTAAAGCTTAGCGAGGCTTGCATCGTCTAACAAACAAAGCAGTGTGAATAAAAACAGTGTTACATTAATCACACAAATTTTCTTCGACTAAAACAATCAGTAAATCGGTCATCAAAATTGTCGATTATTTTAGTCAGCCAAGACCTTCGACTAATGCCCAACACTGGATAAAAGCAAAGCTAGCTCAGCTTGCTTGGTTAATGCTTGCTTCCGCGCCTGCCGTAAGCTTAAACCGCAATCAATCAGGGACAATCCGGCGGATGCGTCTCGCGTCGCCGTAATTAACGCGCCGCGACGTTACGGTAAATTACCGGCGACCGCGAGAGGCGATGCCCTTTCCGCAATAGAGTTCCATATCACAAAGCGCAATATTTTTCGAAAGACCAAACTTTCGGATAGAAAAAGAAAAGAGTGTGAGAGTGAAAGCGAGAGAAAAAGACAGATGTTCTGATTATTTCTACGTTTAAAATCGAGACAATACACGCGAGCGTATTGCGCGATAATGAAGCATCGAGAATACAAGCGGATAAGTTGCATGAAAAAAATGATCATCATTAGTTTTGTAATAAACAATGAGTGCAACTGCACATATAGAAAAATATATACTGCGTTAAAGTTATTTATTTCAAGTATTTAATAACTTTATATTTCGGAAAATTTATCATAAGCTCATCATAAATATCGAATTTGCTCAAAATATATTCCGAATCCTAGTAAATTTAGCAATTCAATTAAGAATATTAAATTAAAACAAAATCAGTTTGCTTGTCACATAAGGGCGAATCAGAAGTAGAATTAACAAAAGAATAATATTTTTCTGTGTGCAGTGTTATTGGATGAAAAATTTATCTTTTAGCGTCGACGATTTCCCAATTCAAATTGCAGTGTCAGATTGACTTTAACCTGACGTACAACATTATGAAATGAATTTAACTCGAATGCAGTTCGTACGACAAAATTTATATCTTTCAGAGATTTATATCTTTCTTGCATTTCTTCAAACAGTGAATCGCGTATATCTTTTACGAAATCGTGCGACCTCGATTTTGTTAAAACAAAAAAAAAAATTTTTAAATTCGGAAAATGAAAAGGAGAAAATTGTAGAAGAAAAAAACACGACAAAAATGAACTGACTCGCTCGACATTTTCGGTGCTCGATACGTGCGCGTGTAGGTATAAATCCCGGTCTACGACAGGTATAATAAGTCTATAGCCTTTTAAGGTTTTAAGGCCCAAACTATAACTTGATTTTTAGTAAATGGCGTTTCCCGCTGATAGAAGTTATAATAAGTCTTAAAGTTACAGATTACAATATCTGATAATGCGGGAAACGTATTTGATCAGAAACTTATAAAGCTTAGGCTTTCGTACGAAAGAATAAAAGATTTATTACGCCTGTTGTGCCAGGACTAAAGCTTGGGTTCTATTTGGCTCACCATAAACTCGTATTTGCAAATTGTTAACAAAGAGATGTGCGTAGTGAATCATAGTAAACGCCCTAGTTTTGTTAGCGAAATCAGGGTGACCAAGAACCTTAATTTAATACAAATGATCCTCCAGTAGCTGTTGCTTGGCCATAATAACAAGATGTTTCTCTTTTTCTAAGAAAGGAAACTTCTTTCCTTTTTCTAGAAAAAGAACACATGAAAACCCAAGTATTTTGTGTCATATATGTGCAAAAGCGCGGCCATACAGATGTCAAGCGTTATTGTGTTCATTAGCTCTTTCCAAACCATTCTCTTTCAACATCCTGAGTGTTGAAAGTAACGCACGTCCAACGATTCTCACTTCTTTGGTTCTTCAGCGCGATCGACCCCGACCGTTGGTCATCGGCCAACGTGTTTAGTTCAGCCACATTGTAATTAATGTAACAATCATTAATGGGACAGTATTACTATGGCTAGAAAATACAGCATATACATATATGATTCCGATAAAACACGACAGCGCGTTCACGTTCTTCATCACCCGACACCGCTACTAAGAGAAAAAATGGTTGATCCAACTAAAATTATAGTTATTTTTGGCCCCAAATATATTTTTTGGTTGTTCCAACACGAAAATGATGATAGTAACGTGCGTATAAAGCATATAAAATAGTTTTTTTACTATAATTTATAGGAATTATTTCTCTATATGATTATAGTTACAAATACCAAACATCTTTTTTTCAGTGTACAATCCTGTCCTTACTCTCCAACTGCTTACAAAGCGCGATCAATTAGGAGCAATCCAGCGGATACGTTTCACGTCGCCGTAATTAACGCGTCGCGCCGTTACGGTAATTTACCGGCGATTGCGAGAGAATCTCTCCTGTACAGTAGAGCTTCGTATTACAAAGCGCAAACTGAGAGAAAAAAATATCTAAAAAAT